AACACTCAATAGAATTTGAAAACGCCCCTGCTCCTTTCATGGTATTGGGGTGCATGTATATACAGTAGTCTTTGCACATGCTAATGAAAAGGATCAATAGGAAGGGTTACCAAAGTTAATACAATGCAGTCAATATCATGTGCTGCATATAAATCAGATATTGGCTTGAGCATGATATTTTGTGCATTTGAGCATTTCCATATCCAATGATGATTTAGAGTATCTGTTTCAAACAAGATAAACACGATTGGGATTGAACCCCTGCTTTTTTGCTATTAAGAAGTTCTATATTCATTAGAACTACTGAAACCTCATACCAAAGAGTGGAGACATCAAAATATGTCAATTGTGGAATGGATATGGTTTTTTACGTTTTCTTTGAGTAATTGAATTTGCTAATGCTCTATTTTATTTCTATGTTCTACGGCAACCTGATTACCCTTGCGGTTTAGTTTTCCTTCTGGACCCTTATTACTCTTTTATCATTTCTAAACGTAAAAGAAGACTCTGGTATCATATAGCTGTGGAAAAGGTTTTGACCCCAGATGGCAATATGTTTTCTGCTGAATATATGTCATTCCAGATCTTATAATTGGTAATCTCCTGTTTTGATATGCAGTGACCGAAGTTCATGGGAGGACGTTTGGAGTTTGGACACTTTTGACTTGTACCCTCTGCTTTCTCTGTGCATTTAACTTGGAAAATAAGCCACTGTACTTGGTGACGTTTTTGTCATTCATCTGTGCCTTTGGTCACTTTTTGACTGAATATCTCTTCTATCACACAATGGCTCTCTCAAATCTTACAACCGTTTTTATTACATCAAAATTCGTAGATTGTATAACCGACCAAGAAAATTTATTAGATTAAAATTTGATAAATGGCTATAGTATTTTCCTCAATTGCTAGGTTTGTAGCGTAGTGTTGCAATTGCCAAAGCCTAATATCTCATGGCATCCTTCTTGACCGTTTAGTATTTTATACTCAATCACGTCCCATTACAATAATTTTTAAATATCTATAAAAACAGCAACGAGGATTTTTTAGGCTATCATTAGCTCCTCCGAATTTCTAAGACAATCTGTGACAATACATGTAATTTCACAAATCAAGCAAATGTTCATATTTAATTTTTCAAAAAAAATTAAAGTCAACTTAATATAAAATTTAATATAATACTTTTATTTTCATTTTATTGGAAAATGAAAACACAACGAAAAAAGAACGATTTTATATCCCATCTCTCTGCGTATATTTGCTTTGGATTTTTCACCTGAACTCCAGTTATCGTCTTTGAAGATTAAAAAAAAAAAACTAAGGAGAATAAAATGAAGCAAAAGTAGCTTTCAGTCCAAAAAACAAAATCGGATGAAGATTAAGCTTTTATTTAAAACATAAAATTTCAATTCATTAAAAAATAACTTGAAAAAAGATATAAACTGAGATGCCATGTACAAAATAACATCTGAATGAACATTTTACAATAGATCAATAATCAAAATATAATTTTAAAATTTAAATGATAAAATAAACAAAAATATGAAACAAAAGTGATCAGAAAATCAAAATTTGTGTTATGGAAGAGATTTGACACAGACGTCAATAAACCTAAGCAGGTTGATCCACCTGATCTCAGCCCATCAAACTTCAAAAAACCAATTGATATCATCAATACGTAATGTTGCATTTCATGCATCATCACACTTTCTAACATATGTCTCCCATTTCAGATGGAGCTTTAGAGTTTGCTTTTGCCTCCAATTGAAGAAGCTAATACAGATACTACTAGATACTGATTTGGAAAACAAAAGAGAAAGAGAAATAAATTACAGTTTCCACTAATTTCTTAATATTTCACACAGAATCAAAGCACTGTAGTCCTTGACCAGAAGTAAAACAGAAATAAATTACAGTTTCCACTAATTTCTTAATATTTCACACGGAATTAAAGCACTGTAGTCCTACAACATAAGAAAAGAGAGATAAATTCATTCAATCCTAAGTCGAAAACGGCTTGTATGTCTTGAGGCTTTGAATCAGTCCTTGAACAGATCCAGCAGCAGCAACCAGCGAAACGATCAAGCATACCAGGCTCAGAACTTTCAGCCATATCCACCTGAATGAATACTTGGGCAATTTCGTTTGAGCAATGTGCATCTCGATCGGGAAGTAGACCGTCAATGGCCAGAATGAGCCGGCCCCGAATAAGTCCTAAGAAATCGTTGAAGAAAGGAAATAGCATAGCTACCACGGCTGTCACCATAACATAGGTTGTCCTCCACACCACCCTGAAGAAGTTGACGTTGTAAACACCATAGCATGGAATATCAACAGCATGCTCTCTTGTAATGAACTTGTTTTCTGGCCAGTGTCTGGCACACCAGCTCTCAACGAACCCGAATAAGGGTTGGGCAAACACCTGGACATATGTCAACCATGTTAGACCATAAAGTCATCAATGGGACTAAGTTTCATGTATATATATATATGTTTGTGTTTTACCTGGTAAGCACCAATAAGATGGATGGCAATGCAGATGTTGGCGAAGTCGATCAACCAAAAGGGCTCATAGAAGCCGAAGCCAGTGAGGAAATTTCCTGGTGCATCATTTCCGAAGGCTGCATACCCAACAAGGCCGCAAAGGACATAGAAAATAGTGGTCGTTGAGACACCGAGAGTTGTTGCTCTCTTCATTGATTTATTTTCTGGTGGGCTCGATTTGATCGTGTCCTGAAATCATAAAGAAAAAAAGGGAAAAAAGTAAAACTTCTAGATACCTCTGTTTCTCTCTTTTTCAGAATTTAGATCAGCATGTGCTAGTTATCGATTGCGACGAATCCAGAGGCTGCACTTTGAAAAGGTGCTTCTTTTTTGAGATGGGACAAAAAACAGTAGATACCCAACTATATTGGACGTCACAATCTGCTGCTAATAGGTTCGTGATAACTTATAAAAGGAAAGTTGGAAAAAAAAATAAAGCTTTCGCTTACTTTTCCTTTTGGCAAATGCAATAGAATCCATGGACCAAATTCTGAAATATTCTGGTCCATAGGAATCTTTGGATCTCAGCATCTTACAATCTTTAAAAAATCATATTTTTGTATGCATATGTGAATACATGCAGGGGAGACAGTCATCTCATACCGGCATTAAATCAGGCACCATTTCCTTGCAATTATCGCATACAAATTCTTGACAATTTGAATTTTATATCTGTAAATACTTGCCTGAATCTCAACTAGGACGGTAGAATATGCATAGGCAAAGGCAATGTCTCCAATAGCTTGGAATGTCCTCCAAATCTTTTCAGATCCTGTCACGTCCACCCCTACTGCCACTCCAGTTAAGGTTGTCCTTACATGTCCCCCACCTTGATGTTAATTCAGGGAAGCGTTTAATTAAGATAAAATTCAAGCAAATCTATCAAGTAAATAAAACAGAAACTGATGGATGATTTGTGTTTGTTAATTTAAAGTGCAAAGAGAGCTTCACTTTCATTCTTATCAGCTGTTGAAATTACCTGCAACTTTGGCGATGGAGAGTCCAAGGCCAATGGAAGAATAAGCGAAAGACATAATAGCAGCAAGAATCGATAGCCATGAAAGATTGTGGAAGTTTGGGATTTGGCTTAGAACGATCTGGATGCAAGCGAAGATAATCATGAAAGGGTTGTTCGATGTGTGGCACTTCACATGATGGCCATGCTTGTGGAAGCAATTTGACCTTTTGACAGCCCTGATTACAAGCAAATAGGAGACGATAAAAGAAACAATTAATAGAACAATTGCCACTGTGAAATTCCAACAATTTAACATGTAGGAATATTTCAAACTTACACCATGCTAATTGATGCTGTGATAGTGTAACCAATGGTTATTCCGAGAAGATTTACATACTGAGCTAATCCACATAGTTGGACTTTTCTTCCTCCTGCAAAAAGATAAAGCATGAATTTGATGTTCCATTAATGGTTTCTGCGGCATTTTGGGAATTGATTGAATTATCTACGTGGAGAAATAGTTTCTCTTTAAAATATCGTTTTTTCTTGGAACTGTAAACAATCACTTAATAAGGTATTAATGTGGTACCTAAGTAAGCTCTAACAGCATCCATGTAGGTGTAGTTTCTGTTTCCATGGACAGGATCAGGAGCCCTATAGCAATCAGCAAGAAGGGTGGAGGTGAAGAAGGTGATGAAGGAGAAAGCCATGAGAACTGCCGGTCCAGCCACCCAACCCAATTGGGCAATAGCCCATGCAAGAGATAGCACTCCAGATCCAATCACGGCAGTGATAATATGAGCACTTGCAGTAACCCAAGTCCCTTCAAAGAAAAAAAAAAATTCAAAAACCAACAACCAAAGCGAAATAAGGACCATGTAAAGAAGGATAACAATGATAAGCATTCGAAGGGAAGAAAAAAACAAATAAGTACCGGTTCTTTTGACTCGGCCATCATCATCCAAGTTCTTGCCAATATCACCATTCTCATAATCTCCAGGGTTTCTCTCTATGAACATGCTAGTCTTCTGCATCTCTTTGGCCATCTCTTCAGCCTCGAGGTCGAGGGTTAAATGATAATGAGTTGAAACAAAGGGTAAAATGACGGGGGATGAAAGAAAAATAAAACTGGCTTTGAGGATGGTAAGAAACGATAATGAGTTTGGAGAGAAAGACAATCCTCTTATATAGCCGTGGTTGAAGACTTCTGTGGGGCAGGGGAATCATTGGCAGGGTTGGATTAATGGAATTTGAGTTTTGGATTGATTCGAATTTAATAAAATATTTATTTATCTTAGAATAATTATAAAAATATTCCTTTTATTTGGTTCTGGGAAATGACATTACAATGTTAAGCATCCAACGTGATATTTCAGAGCTAACCACAACAAATCAGGATTTTTGATTTTGCCGCTTACATTTGCTAAAAGCAAATTACTTCTTTTTCCCCAGCACACTGAGGAACACATATACTTAAAAATTTGGTTGACCCCTCCAATCGATGGTAATGAATATCAGAGAAGCCGTAGGTGCTCAAAGCAATGGTCCAAATGAATTCTCTGATAGGTTTTTAGTTGAAACATGCCTCATTTTGACTTCCAACTGATGTGTAATGACATTATAATAAGCACTTTGGGTTTAAATTAATGCGTTTTGTGTATTCTCGTCGGAATTATTATTGTCCAAAGAGTCGGCCCCTATATTGGAGGAAGTAAAATACATTTTCTTTTCATCTACATTGGATCCAATATAATCTCTTGCTTTATTCGACTCTTAGGCTATATAGAGTGTATGTATATAATATATATATATAAATAATTAGGTAGCCAACCATTTAGTCACATGTAGCCACGGAACATGGAAACGTTTTAGCACAACCATGGACCGTGCCGGTAATGGGGTGCTCGCTATAATTATAAGTTCCATGACTTTAACATTTATAATGGTCGACTTGATTATATAATAGGTGACAACACATTAAAGAGTATATATCTCCTTACAGTGGCATCACTTTCTTGTGCGCTCCTCACGACTTGGATGGTGAAACTTTTTTATAGTTCAATTTTATTGAAAAACTTGAGTTGGAATTTTATTTTATATCATGGTTTTTCATATTTTGATTAATCACGAATCATCTGCTTTCCTTTTCATTCTGTCTCTTTTTCATTTTTATTCAATGCAAGTGGGAATTAGATTCACCGAGTTGAAACGTATTGACTTCGTTGATCTTGCATTGACTAGTGAAAAAGAACGTGGTGAGCTTTTACTTGGAAATCAAATGCCCTATATCGTGAAACGAAACACTTTATTAAAATAATCTTGTTGATGATTCACGGCCTACCTGGCACGTTCGTTTCCGCCTAGACCATTACCAAAGTCTCCACTTACGATCATAATAATTTCCACTTTTACAATTCAAGTTCGTTCATCTCATTTTGCACTTTTTGAGACATGTGGTGTGGTGCGCGAGTTCAATCATGTGCCCGGCAGCAGTCATCCAAAGCCACCTGAAATGCACGATATCCATAATAAATTCCAGGTCCGACAGCTCTGAAAATTGCAAGAACTGGACAGGTTTTGTCAAGATCACATAAAGAGGTAATGAGACACATAGAAGGGGGATTCCTCAAAGATGGTGGAAGGAAGGGTTGTAAATGATTGGATGAAAAAAAAACGCCAATAATCCATAAGACCTTTTTAGCTGAAGCAGAGCACGAGTAATGTCGAGCCTATCCTATCGCCAGCAGGCAGCTTATGGATTTTGCATAAAGGATGACAATGTAAACAAAAATACGAGGTCCCCCTTAAAGTTGACTCCGATGCAGAGGGTCTACGGATGTCTTAGAACGGACGTAAAATTTTAAAATTTTAAGAGGAGATTAAATTGTAAAATTTTAAGTGACAAAGATTTTTAATAAAATATACATAGAATTTTTTTTGAAATATATAATAATTTTAAATTTTCAGGGGACGAATGCCTCCACCTTGACCCGTCTCCCTTAAACCAACCTTGGATTCTTAGTGTGTACAAAATTATATTATTTACTAATTAATCAATCTATTTTTTTCTGGTTCAGAACATTTAGAAAAACTTTAGCACATAAAAAAATATCTAATTGCAATTATTTTTAGGTAAAAAGAAATAAGAACTTGTTACAAAAGCATGTATTAATATTTGTAATATTATGCACGAACCAACTTACTTTATTGGTTAAAAGAATTGTGACTATTTCTAAAAATTACAGGTTCGAGCAACAACGACTGCAATGATAATTGAACGTTTACAGTCAAATGATTGAGAATATTTAGAACAAATATCATTTTGTAATCTATTTAGTTTAATAAAAAATTATATATTTGTAACATTCCAAACTTTGGTTTACCCTTTTTATGGAACACTCTCACAAAAATTTAGTACTTGAGATATTTCATATACTTTAGTGAAATTTTATTTGGGTTCTTTTATTATTTTTTGGTTAATTTAATCTTCAAACTTTCATTTTATTTATCACTTTAATACTTTAGCTTTTTTTGTTGTTGAAAATATCACTATACATAATAGAATTATGTTAGGTGAAATATATGTTAAGAAATCATAAGATAAAAAATATATAAAATTCAGAAAATTTAAAAAATTTAAAAAAAAACATAATTCATATATATATTTTTGAATAACTATGTTTAATTTATTTCTAAAAGTTCATAAAAAAAATTAAAATGAAATCACATGAGAAAAAAATCTAAAAAAAAAACCATGTTCTTTTTAATTAAAATATTTTTATTTTTTAATATTTTATGTTTGGGTTTGGATTTTTTATTTTAAAGTTTCAAAAATATTTTATTTTTGAATAACTATGTTTAATTTATTTCTAAAAGTTCATAAAAAATTAAAATGAAATCACATGAGAAATAAAAAAAATCTAAACAAAACCATGTTCTTTTTAATTAAAATATTTTTATTTTTAAATATTTTATGTTTGGATTTTGATTTTTTATTTTAAAGTTTTCGAATACCCTATTATTATTTTTATTGGATATAACAATATCTATCTGGTTATATGTTACTGCTGTACTATTCAATTTCTTTTTATTAGATATGAGACTGATTAAAATATTTTTTGAATAGAATAGTTAGTTTTATTAAAAACATAAAATATTCGAATTATAACTATAAACTAAACATATAATAAAGACATTTTTTCTATAATCATTAACACAAGAAACATAGCCACTTAACAAAAAGATCATATAATAAAAATATTAAAAATATAATCAAATAAACTAGAACAAAATGTAGATATGAATACATTTGATTATAGCGGGAAATGAACCACAATAGGGGATCAAGATATTGAAAGACTATCGATAAATCGTAAATAAGAGTCAAACGACGTGAAAAGACTATATACGAAAGCAAATCTTGTATCTAAATCCAACATGATGGTCCAAAGTAAAAAATATCATCATGATTACAAATAAGTACAATTTTGATTGGTCGTAGCGATATAAAATCTATTGTTGAAAAAAATATACGAAAACAAAAACCAAATGAAAAAAACGTATCATAAACGCAGAGTTATTAAAAATATTTTTTATTAAAATATTTTTAATTTTTAATTTTTTAATTTTTAGTATTTTATATTTATATTTGACTTTTTATTTTAAAGTCTTCAAATACTTTATTATTAGTTTTACTGCACTGCATATAACAATATCTATCTGGGTCGCGTTTGTACTAAAAAAAATAATGATAAAAAAGCCGGGTCGCGTTTAAATTTTTCGAATGAAAATATTAAGAAACTAATATGATAACAAAATAAAAGTTGGAAGAAAAATTAAAAAATAATAATAAATGAATAAAATGAGAATTTCACTATAAAACTAGTAATTTTAGATATTAAGCCTTAAAAATAGAAACAGAAGTTAAAAAATTGATTTAAATCACAACAAAAAATGCAGTCACTGATTCATAATTCTCCCTCAAATAGAGGAAAAAGGAAAGATTATGCTAAAATAGAAGCTTAAAAAAATACCCACCAAATATAGGTGGGAACCAAAAAAAAAAAAGGCCATTGCTTTAGCAGTGGAGCACAAAAGAGTAGAAGTGGTTACAATTTATAAGAGGTAGTAAATTGACATAATAGTTAAATATTTAAGATTTAAAAAAATAGAATTAAATTCTAATAAAATATAAAAATTAAATGTTTATTATATTACTTTTATTTATAACGACATCATTTTTTATAATTTTTCATTGAAGACTTAATTAAAAAAACTTATAATCAAGGACAATATATGAATTTATATTATTATTATTTTAACATAATTTATCCCTTTTTTTAATTCTAGAAGTGGCAGGCTCTGCAGGGTAATTAAATCGAACTCTAAAAACAACACGTTAAAACATGAAACATTATAAACAAGGAAAAATGGAGAATTAAAATACCTCTGTTGTTGTTCTTTACAAAGAATCTAGGAAACAAAAATAAGAACACCAATTTCATTATTTCATCATTCTCTTTATTTAAAAGAGAAAACCTAGATTGGATTTTTGTTGCACAAAAAAGGAAAAAGTTTGCAGATCTAAACCCGGGTTTGTACATATTCTGTTTCTATCTCGTTATTATCTCTCTCTTGTGCTCATCATTTATTTTTGATGATTCGTGCTTATTTTAAGCTAAACATGAAATTGAAATTTCTCATGTCTGTTTTATTTTATTTTTTTAATTTTGAGGTTGTAACTTGTAAATAAGATTCACATTCTCTTTATTTAAAAGAGAAAACCTAGATTGGATTTTTGTTGCACAAAAAAGGAAAAAGTTTGCAGATCTAAACCCGGGTTTGTACATATTCTGTTTCTATCTCGTTATTATCTCTCTCTTGTGCTCATCATTTATTTTTGATGATTCGTGCTTATTTTAAGCTAAACATGAAATTGAAATTTCTCATGTCTGTTTTATTTTAATTTTTTAATTTTGAGGTTGTAACTTGTAAATTAAGATTCATAATTTTATTCCGAACAACGGTAATTCGTTCTTGTTCATAATATATTTTTTAAAAGAAAAACTAGAGTTACGTTGGTTTAAACGGCAACGTTGTTATAATGTAGCAGTCTCTAATGCAAAAACAATAGTAGTGTATTATCAGCGTTATCATATTTAAATTCTAAATTGAAGTTCTTAAAAAGAGTGATTGTTCCTTTCTGAAATTTTGTTCATTACAATTCCTTGTTTGCAGCTTTCCGTATTGTTAAAAAGCATTTGATGGTACGGAGAGTTGTTAGAGGGTCCTCTTCTTTTACGTGTGGTTGCTTTGTTCTCTGATGATTTTATGAGAACTGAAACGTAATTCCATGAGAGTTTGCTTGGGAGTGAAAACTAAGGAGAGAAGCAAGAATTGAGATACTTGATTATATGTGTTTCAACATCATGGATGGTCGAGTGGTTTGAATAATAGAGAAATGAATAAATAAATACATGAAAAAATAGACGAGGACAAGCAAAAAGGTTACCAGATTCAATGCCGCCCTCGGGTAAATTACAGCCGGTGGTCGTGTTGGATGCTACCCACGAGATTGCAATTTACATCCATAGGTTTCATAACCTTGATCTTTTCCAGCAAGGGTATGATGAAATTATTGTGTTTTCCTGTTTGTTTTGAACCTGCACATCCTCATTCATATGTTCATTTGAGTGTTTAGATGGTATCAACTCAAGATTACAGTCAGATGGGACAATGAAGCATCTGCTTCTCCCGCGATGCCTTCCAGAGTCTTACAATATGAAGGTAAATTGTTGAAATTATAGTGTTTAATTTTTCTTTTAAAACATTTGTCTTAAGGTTATAAATTTGCTATTTGTTGTTGTTTATATAATAAACATTTTTAACGTTGATACATTCTAGTGTTTTGTACTGAAACTGGTCCCTCTAGAGAGCTAAACAGGCACCTTGCAATTTCCGAAAGAATATGCCATGCTAGCTGATTGATTGGTCAAATATTTTTGATACAGCTGAAGCAAACAAATTTAATTTCCTTTGATACTTAAATTATGACCAATCAATGAATTTCATCTTTGTTTAAAGGTGAATATATTTGGAACTATATGTTGGTTTCTCCTACTTGTTTTATGCTCTCAAAGTATAATGTAATAGTTTTCTCAAACAACATTTTCCCCTACTTAAGACTAGAAAAATATTGCAGCTCCAAACTTGGGTTGTGAGGGTGGACGATATGGAGTGTGGAAGATTGATGAAAAAGATAACAGTTTTGCAACGCAGCCTTTTCGAATCAAATATGCAAGACAGGATGTTCTTTTATTTACCATGGTTGCATTTGATTTACCTCTTAAGGGAAAAGAAGTAGGTACTCTCTCCTTGCTCATATCCACATGTGCACACATCACACTCCCTCTAGCCGAAGAGCATACAAAAATAAATTGCAGAACTCACTCTATAAAACTTCATTATATTAACTTATGGTAGTCTATGATAGGTTTTGATGCTTAGCTTCTTTCTTGCAAATTGATACTAAAATCTCTATTCCAACCATAAGGGAAAATGGAAATGACAGTGGATTTTCCTGAAAGTTATGACTTTCACCAATATTTACTTCATTTGATTTTGGTATTGGACATGCATATAAGCTTTTCTACTTTGATTGCGTTGGCTATTTAGTTTGCTAATATTTTCTTATATCCTATTATGGTGCTGATGTAGCATTATCTGACACTGACAGTGTCCTTACTCATCAGCTGTCATTTTGAAGTTTGAGCTTTTATATGCTCCTCTGTTGGAAAATGGGTAAGGTGACAAGTCCTGTTTTTGTATTACTGTACAATTAAAATTTAAGGCTTTAACCTCTGTTCTTTTTATGAGCGTTTCATTTCTATTATTATTTTCTTTCTTCAACTTAAAAGATCCTATAATTGATCTGAATGCTCTGCATTCAGTTCTGAGTTTCAGGCTTCTCCAGATAGTAACCCTGCTGCCATCCATGAATTTCGGATCCCTGCTAAAGCTCTTTTAGGACTGCATTCCTACTGCCCTGTTTATTTTGATGCATTTCATGCTGTTCTTGTGGATGTAAGTGTTCACATCACTCTCCTAAAAGCTGGTTCTATCCAAGACTCAATGAAGGTACCCAGGTTTGTCGCAGATTCTAGAAATAGTGAATCTTTGTGGAAATGATGAAAGGGAAATGGTGGTTTTATTTATAAATTTGTGCTATATTGATATGTAGAAGTAACTTGACCTGTTGAATTTTTTCAGTATTTCTTCTACAGTCACTGATGATGTTGCTGGTAAAACTGTTGGCGGGTCGACTCAGGTTTGTTCTAAACATTGAATATTCATATGCAACAACAACCCATCCCTAATCACAACTTGGACTATCTTTGCATCTGCTTGACTAAGGCTATGCCTTAAATATAAAGTTTTTCTTAAAATTAATAAGGCTGTGCATTCAATATGTTTTTTCTTTCTTTCTTTCTTTCTTTTTCTTTTTTTTTTTTGGTGGGGGGAGATTATAAAAACTTCTCCTGGATTTACTTGACCAATAATGGAAAAGCATCTTATTTCTTTATGCTGCTTCTTGTTTTCTTCGATAATCAATATTCTATGAACTGATACTCCGGTTATGTGATTGAGTAGGTGTTGAATCAAACGGATCGTAGTGACCTGAAACTGGTCAGGCTTGTGAAGGCATTACTAGATGCTCGTGAAACCTTGATTGTAGAGCTACAACAACTTAGCAATGCCATTAACCAAACTGTTGATTTGATTAAATTTACATCCACAATGAATGATACAAGGTTATTTGATTCATCCTTGCAAGCAAATCAGGTTACTGATGATAATGAAGACTCTGGACAAGGCAAGCCACAAAATGGTCCTGAGGTCCTTGCTTTATTTTACCCAGCATCAGTCTTATTCCTATTTTTTTACCCTCTTTAATGGTTTTATAGTTTTTATTATAGATTAAAATTATAATCTTGCCCTCTCTTTTAACGGAAAATTAATGGCGAATCAGATTTTCAAAGTGATCAATTGCCCCAGAACTTATCCAAGGATGATTTAACCAGAATGTTTAATCTATATGGTGATCAGGTGTTATATGTATGGAGCACTTTTCTCACTTTCCACAGGTTAGCTTATACATTTTTATTTCCAGTTGTTGCTGTTTTTAGTCAATGATTTCTCTTTGATATTGTAGGCATTGTTGGCTTGTTTTGCTCCGTATCCCTCTTATTAACACTTCATTGATCATTTCATCCCTAAAGATGATTTGAACTCCTTGATACAGCTTTCATAGTATTGGTGCTTACTTTAGGTGTTGAAATTGCATTTCATTCCAGGGATAATAAAACAAGGATAATGGAAGTCCTTCATGATGCATGGGCTAAGGATAGAAAAGCTGAATGGTCAATATGGATGGTTTACTCTATGGTTGAAATGCCCCATCATTATATAAACCGCAGTTTTAAGGAGACTACCCACCATGTCTTGCATAAGAGGGGTTCAAGTTTGTGGAAGTTATCTGATGATGTGAACACTTTTTTATGTTTTTCATTTGAGTAAATATGTTGCTCTTTGTTTACATACTCAGAGAAGAGCAACACTAGGCTTATCCACTATTTTCTAATTTTGGGAAATTCATATTGTGCAATGCAGCCTGTGCATATGTCAGAAATGAAGGCTGACCTTCATCGACGGAGTATCTCACAAATGAAGGTAAGTTGTTTTATTTACTGGTTATAGTCCTTATTCCTGGTGTTTACTGAAGATTTTTGCACACAGATTAACAGTCGGTCAATCCAAGACATGCAAATATTTGGAGATCCTTCAGCAATTCCTATTGCAATTGTAGAACGCGTTATGAATGCACCTCGTCGTAGTCTGAGTTATAACTCATACATGAATTATTTGGATGCTGTAGATTCAGTTGCCTCACATTCTGATATTAGTTCTAAAGAAGGGAAAAAGCCACCACGTGCAACTGCTGCAAAAAGAGGCCGTGATTTGAAGGTTGTTGTCTTTGTACATGGATTTCAGGCAAGTTTCACTCTCCCATTCTTGTTTTCTTAGGTAGTAGTTTTAATGCATATTACCATTAATAAGTTGACGCCGAGTACATTTAAAGTAAACTCCCGATGTAATTTTTATGCTTCTCAAAGGCCGCGTAGAACTATAACTTCTAAAAGTGAAGATATTAGTGTCTACCATTCATTTTAGTGTGCAAAGCTAACTCTTTCTTTTCCTAGTTAACTTCGGCATGTTCCTACTAGAGACAGATTAGTCAGTGAATTAATGTTTAAACCCAATTTGAATATAATAGGGGCATCATCTGGATTTGCGGCTTGTTCGCAACCAATGGCTTTTAATAGATCCCAAAATCGAGTTTCTCATGTCAGAGGCAAATGAGGATAAAACATCTGGAGACTTCAGAGAAATGGGACTGAGGCTGGGGCAGGAAGTAGTACATTTTATTAAAAAGAAAGTGGGTAAAGCTTCAAGATATGGACGATTAGGAGAGATCAAACTTAGTTTTGTCGGGCACTCTATTGGAAACGTCATAATAAGAACAGCAATAGCAGGTAGATATGCTCTTGTCCGAAGCTACGTTCCCGTTCTTACTATTTTGTAATTTCTGCTAAATATATACATTTCTTTCTGCAGATAGTGTTATGGAACCTTACCGGAGATACCTTCACACATACCTATCTCTATCTGGTCCACACTTGGGATATTTATACAGCTCAAATTCTTTATTCAATTCCGGGTTGTGGCTTTTGAAGAAGTTCAAAGGGACCCAATGCATCCATCAGCTTACTTTCACCGATGACCCCAATATCCATAACACTTTCTTCTACCAACTTTGTAAGGTATTGAGATCAAAGTCAGGATTATTGTTTTTTAAGCTCTGAAGTTCTAAAATTGTTGATTTGCTTCTTTCAGAAAAAAACTCTGGAAAATTTCAAGAATATAATCCTCTTCTCCTCACCCCAGGTATTCTAACAATTGTATACCTTAAACGTTTATTACATGTACGTTTTAAGGTCGTTGAGAGATGATTTGTCTCTCAGGATGGTTATGTTCCATATCATTCGGCAAGGATCGAGTCATGCCGGGCAGCGTCCATGGACCACTCGAAAAAGGGAAAAGCATTTTTGGAAATGTTGAATGCCTGCTTGGACCAGATACGAGCTTCTACGACTGAAGATCGGGTGTTCATGCGATGTGATGTCAACTTTGACACATCCTGTCATGGCAAGAACTTAAACTCATTCATTGGACGAGCTGCTCATATCGAGTTTTTGGAGTCGGACATTTTTGCTCGATTCATAATGTGGTCATTTCCAAATATATTTAAATAATTATTTCTGTTGTTCCACCTATAATGAATCCCCAGTCTCCAGATTGGTTGCCAAATGCAGAGCCAGTGATTTTGGTTTCTGGTTTTCGAGCATCAATGTGAAAGAAGAGCAACATTTGCATGCGTTTTGGTGTATAGGTTGGAGTCTAGCCGCCAGATGATTACAAAAGAAATTGTTATATAAGTTCTCGATACAAAAATAGTGAAATTTAATCTTATTTGTTTTTACAAATAATAATCTATCATAAATAATAATAAAAAATGATTTTTTTTAATATTTATAACTTAATATATATATCTCAAAAATCAATTTGATATACCTCAAATCTCTTTTAACATCACTATAAAATTTATCATCAAATTTTTTTATCTCATAAGAATTATTATATAAATAGTCATCAAACATTATAATTTTACTAAAATTCAATTTAATCATCAATTAAAATTTAAATAAATATAAATTAATTATTAATTAAAATTTGAATTGATTGAAATAATACTTGTGAATTAAATTGATTGAATTACTTAAACTAAAATAATTTAGTTTTTTTATTCCTTAAAATGATTATGGTATTTCTTAAAGAATTTCCGAAAGAGGGAATAATTGTTTCAAGATAAAAAAAATTTAATTGTATTTTTAGAAATAATATATATATATATTATACATTTAAGTTTTTTTATTTATTTTCCATAAACGAGAGTTCTGATATCACTAGTATTATTTTGTTCGGTGGAAGGTTTAGAGGAAAAATAATAAACCTTTAGGGGTGTTTGGTTTAATGATTGTGGGATGAGAATTCCACATTCTCATGTTCGGTTGGACGAGAATCTCATTCTCAGTAATGTTTTATTACCAATAGTAGATTTTTTGAGGTATATTACCGAGAACGTCATTACCTCCATTCCCTTAGTTATTGTAATATTACCGGCGTTTTGGACTAAAATGCTCTTAAATTTTTATTTTTTTTTCAAAAATATCATTCTTATGTCATTGAATAATAAAAATTCGAAGGTTAAATTACAAATTTATCCTTAAATTATTTTAGATTTACAAAAAAAATCTATAATTAAAATTTTATATAAAGTTCAAGGGTTAAAATTTTTTTTACCCTTTCATTAAACCCTTTTTATATTTTTAATTTTGTAAAAAAAATTATAAATATTAGAATTAATTTTTTAAAGAAAATATATAAATATTATACAATTTGTAATATTATACAAATATATAATAAGGATAATTTGGTCAAATATACATTCTAATAATATTTTATTTCTTTAACCAAACACGGTAATCTTACATTCCTGCTAAACCAATCAAACACAAAATACAACATTCTCAGTAATCTTATTCCTGATAATCTTTTATTCCTACTGATAATCTTACATTCCGTTAACCAAACTAATACTTACTTGATAAACACTAGAAAAGAGGGGGAGGAAGAGTAAAAACTAATAGGAATCTTTCATAATCTAACGTTAATATATATTTCGTATCCTTATCTACTTTTACCATCGTATGGAAACTCTTTAGCCAATTTTAATTACCTTCTCTGTTTAACCAAAAAGCCTAGCATTGCCTGGTTTCGCTTTATTTCAATTGACGCTCACAGCTTTCTTTACAAAAAGATGGGGGATATATCTCTTCCTAATGATGCTCTGTTCCTTGGATTTGATAGCTCTACTCAGTAAGCTCTCTCTTTTATCTCCCTTTAGTTCCGTGATCCAAATTCCGATGACATTAAGCAAAATCTAAAACTACCCATTTGTCCATGTTTTGTTCTTTTACGCTTCTACTGTTAAAAAATGTCTAACTTCTTAGTTTTGAAATTTGAGGTCTTTATGATCAGGACTTAGATTATAAATCGGAAACTAGAAGAACCCATGTAGCAATTGCGTATTTCTTCTTATACTGTAAAGAAATTGACTTGTAGAAGCTGTTATGATCTGTGTTTAATGCTTATCCGATTGGGTCCCATTGATGTTTTGTTGTTCTTTAGAATTCTGCTAGTTGAAAAATTATAATTTAGTTAAGCTAACGTTTGATTCCCCCCCTTCCCCTTTTGTTTAAAGGTCATTGAAGGCAACAGTTTTGGACTCCAATCTTGTAATTGTTGCTTCAGAGCTAATCCACTTTGACTCTGAGTTGCCTCATTTCAAGACCAAGGATGGAGTTTACAGAGACCCTAATGTTAATGGCAGAATTGGTTCACCCACCATAATGTGGGTGGAGGCTTTGGATCCTGATTCTTCAAAGACTATCTAAATCCAATTTGGACTTTGGGAAGATTGCTGCCGTTTCTGGTAGTGGCCAGCAACATGGTAGTGTTTATTGGAAGAATGGTTGTTCTACATTATTATCATCATTGGACCCCCAAAAACCATTAGTTGAGCAGCTTGGAAATGCTTTTTCTATCAAGGAATCACCAATATGGATGGACTGCAGCACACAGCTCAGTGTAGAGAAATAGAGAAAGCCGTTGGAGGTGCATTGGAGTTATCTAAAATTACAGGTTCACGTGCTTATGAGCGATATACAGGACCACAAGTTCGGAAGATATTTGAGACGCAACAAGAAGCTTATAAGAACACTGAGCGAATCTCTCTTGTTAGCTCTTTCATGGCGTGTCTCTTCATAGGGGCTTATGCTTGTATTGATACAACTGATGGTGCAGGGATGAATTTGATGGATATAAAGCAAAGGGATTGGTCTAAAGTTGCACTAGAGGTTTGTTTTGCTTGCTAACTTTTTGTGGTTTATTTGTCAGTCTCTGAATCTTGTTGATTGATTTTTCTTATGTTCAAATTGTCATTTTTTATGTTAATGACATTGTTGAACTTTCAATTTTATTACAGGCTACAGCTCCAGGTTTGGAGGAAAAGCTTGGAAAGCTAGCACCTGCACATGCGGTTGCTGGTTCTATAGCCTCCTATTTTGTGGAGAGGTTAGTGGCATATTGCTTCCTAAAAGTTTGCCTTTGATGATTACCGACATTTCTTTAGAGTTTTGTATTAAACTCATAATATTTGCATTCTCAATAGTAATTAACAACTCTCAGTATGGGTTATAATATGCGTGACCTTCAAATTGCTAGTGTGTATGTATATATACTGGTAAAGTATTTGCTCTACTATGCGTTTGTTCATAGGTAGTGGTTGCTTATATGAGCTTTTATGGTGAATGGTGGCATATACTCCCCTCAGCATGCATTAATAATAATTAATATTACCCTTTTCACCTGTTCATACTTGCACATGTTTATATCTATAGGTATATGTTGTCACATCTCTCTAATTTGTGATACAGAGACTGATTGAAACTCATTAATGTCTTTTCAGGTACAAGTTTGATAAGAATTGCTTGGTGGTTCAGTGGTCTGGAGACAATCCCAACAGTTTAGCAGGTTCCTAACTCTCTGGATCTAGTTTAAATTGAATTCTTTATGTGAGTGCCATCTCTGCTACTCAATTACTTGGGTTTTCTAATCCCTAATGTAGGTTTGCATTAGTCTACTCTCGATTTGCACTTAAAGTCTAAATTTAATTTAAGGAGTACTATTGTGTCCGAATATTTAATCTATTACATGGAGGTGAAGACAGTGTAAATGTAGGTTTAAGTGAATTTACTTTAGAAAACTCAGAGGAGCCGCGGAAGTGGTAAATGCTAAAACTTCCTTATCTTTATCTTTTACTTCATTTAACAAAATGCTCCTGAATTTATCTTACTCGATGCTATACAATACATAGCATTAAAAGATTCATTGGTTTATGATGTGTAGACTATAAAGCCTACCTTAAATACATTTAATTTTTTCTTGCTGTACTTTATGAACTTGAATTGCACTTTAAGGCAATCAATATTTTGTGGAAGACAATAGTGCCGTCTCTCTTTGGTTGCCGAGTTTTTTTTGTCAATTTATGCTAGTCCCTTAAGGTAGAAATATTTATGATATTAGAATCTTCTATATCAAATGAAAGAGTTTCCTTGTCCTTTTCAATTCTTTAGAATCTCCACACCAATTTAGTTGCCAATATATTCATTTCCTTATTTTCTCCAGTGAATGGAAAACGAAACTTTTACTGCATAAGGTTTTGCAGAACCATACATAGAGGATAGTTCTTTTAGTCATCAGTTTTCATCAATTAAAAAATTTTGGGCCTGCAGGTTTAACTCTTAATACTCCTTGGGATCTAGCAATCAGTTTGGGTACCAGTGACACTGTAAGTGCTATTTATTCTCTTTATTTGATCAATACTATCTCTATGCTTACTCTGATTCTTGGAATCATCATAAGCAACATCACTCCTGTTTGAATCTTTAATTGGTAGGTCTAATTCAAGGAGTTAAATGTCTGCGACTCCCTTGAAGGTTTTGTTTTCTTTCGTCTTCGATCATACGACTAATGTATAATGTGTTCTTATGTTGGAAGAATTTCTTTTCAAGATTCTGATTGCATGCATTACTGGTAATCATATTTTGCTCTATGTTTCTTGTGCTTCTTTGTTTTCTGGAATCCTCTGAAACTTTCTATAATGTCTTTTTTTCAAGAGATGGGTTTTAATTTCGGGAAATTATCAATTTCTTCTGCTCTATATACTTCTCTCGTTTTTCCTTCAACAAATTGAACTTTGTGCACTACAAGCTCCATCTTTAATCACCAAGAATAGGGATGGCAATGGGTCGGGTCGGGTCGGGTTTTTGGGTCACCCGACCCGACCTGAGAAGAAAGGGTTCTCCACCCGTGATCCAACCCGAATATATGACTTAGAAACCCGACCCGAAATAAAAAAAAAATATTTTTATTCAATAAAAACAGTGACTTAATTGAACAAAATTATATATAGAGGGGTATTATTGTAATTATCCCTAAATATATAGGGTAAAATTATATATATTTTTCGGGTCGGGTCGGATTTTTTCCACCCTAAACCCGACCCGAACCAACCCGAACAGTGCATTTTAAAAAAACCCGATCCGACCCGAACCCAATTTTTTTTAAAAATAAATCCGACCCGATAGGGTCGGAACCCGTCGGGTTCGGGTTGAGTTGCCATCCTTAACCAAGAATGTATTCGGGATATTCAAATGGATCAATTTAGCATTTGCAGTGGAACTAGTTATCTCTTCGAAATATTAGATTTTTTTTCTTTGGTAATATTTTTCAGCTTCTGTCACTAGGTTAATTTACCAAGGCTTTCAAGTTAGCCTTCCAAGTTTTCGTTGTTTAGCCTACTATGTAAAAAAGTGTGGATGTTAGTCTTAAGTGGTGCCCCCACAGTTGTGTTCCAACTTGACTCTGCCCGTTCTTGTTTCAGGTCTTTGGGATCACTAAGGATCCTCAACCTAGTTTAGAAGGGCACGTTTTCCCAAATCCTATTGATATCGAAGGCTACATGGTAATGTTGGTCTACAAAAATGGGTCTTTGACGCGTGAAGGTATCAGAAACCCCCTCCTATTTGTTTCACAGTTGCCTGGTTGTGTAGTTATCTAACAAAGTCTGTGTGTGTTTAGATGTCCGAAATAGCTTTGCTGAGAAATCTTGGGATGTTTTTAACAAATTTCTGGAGCAAACTCCTCCTCTGAATGGTCAGTAAATTATATCTTTTAAGGACATTTTACTTTGTATGAATGTTATTTGTTCTTTATCTCTCATTCTAATTTCTGCAACAGGTGGGAAGATAGGCTTCTATTACAAGGATCATGAGATTCTTCCTCCTCTCCCTGGTGGGTTTCTAGATTTTTTCTTGCAGGTCTTTGGTTTCAGTATGAGAATTCTTGTTTAGTTTCACAGAGAATTTGTTTATTAATACTTGAACATCATTAAATAATGGAATCCATTAGAGCGAGATGGGAAACTTTTATGATGTCATAATTTAGTATATTGATCTTTCGGTATACATGCAATCTGGATTGATGCATACTTATGTGATACTTTACATGGCTGAGCTATCTTCAATCGGCTCAAGTGTGTATTTCGTAGGCGTAATAATCAGCTAAAAGATTTTTTGTTTGTTTGTTTGTGTACGTGTGAAAATTCAGCCGGCTTCCACCGCTACATTCTTCAAAATTTCAATGGTGAAACTCTGGATGGCTTGAATGTACAAGAAGTCCAAGAATTTGACCCTCCTTCCGAGGTAAATGACTAGCGAAATAATTAGGTGTGTTTACACTAATGAGTTTCTTCTATCGCTGTTCCTGAAAAGCAATGGGTTTCATCGCAGGTCCGAGCCTTGATCGAGGGCCAATTTCTCTCAATGTGTGCTCATGCAGAAAGATTCGGAATGCCTTCTCCTCCGAAACGAATCATTGCTACTGGTGGAGCATCAGCAAATAAAAGCATTCTCAGCTCAATTGCATCGATCTTTGGCTCTGATATATATACGGTTCAAAGACCAGGTATGCTATTGCTAATTTGTTGTACGTTATACTAATCTGCTCTGTTTGCAATAAACTTAAATCTAGTACATACCTTCTTTAAGGCAAATGAACTAATCCTTTTCAGTTTTTGTCATATAGTGGTTAACTCTGAAGTCCGAATTTACTTTGATCACCCTGAACTTTGTTACGATGACAGATTCGGCATCTCTGGGAGCTGCATTGAGGGCTGCTCATGGTTGGGTGTGCAACAAAAAGGGGAGTTTCGTGCCAATCTCAGAGATGTACAAGGATTTGGACAAGACATCCCTGAGCTGCAAGCTCTCAATGGCTGCTGGAGACCAGAAACTGGTTTCCAGGTATGCTTTATTGATGAAGAAGAGAATGGAAATAGAGAATAATCTTGTCCAAAAGTTGGGACGGTGCTAGTACTCAAATCCGTTCTAATTGTGGTATGAGAAACGCTCAGTGACACCTTTCTCGATAACCGATAATAGCGTGTTACATTTCGTGATTGTTATTTAAATTTATCGTCAGGGTTCAGTTCAAGTATTAACTGGACCGATGTCATTATATCAAAATAAAAAATAGGTATGGTATCAAATATTTAAAAGGAATAAATATTCATAATTGGTTTATACCAATGTGTATTAGTCTTTTTTTCCCTCTTATGTCTCCTAGAAATTTCAAGTTAATAATATATATTTTAAATTTTTATTTATTTTCAATTAATAATTTTTTTTTTTTTAATTTTAGAAGTTCGTTCGACATGAAATTTTGACGGAGAGTATCAATCTCTATTTTTTCAACTTCCCCTATCCTGCAATGCCGAAGTTGAAATGTGCTAGAGAACGGTTGATAATGGCGCCAACTATATGTTCTCTGTAAAATGTGATAAAAAGATTTTTCCGAATGTTTGTCATGCACATATTTAACTACAATTAAAGGATTAAATGAAATATTATCTAATAATTTAATATGTTCCCTCCTATCTTAACAATGGTAATATCATAGTAATCATTCTATAATTATTTGAAAATATTAATAATCATTTTGTAATATAAAATTTGCTGATAAAAAATGTTTTATTTAAACATAACTAAGTGATTTCTAGTATACTTTATCTTAAACTACAAACTTAATATAAAAATAATTGCATAACCTATACTATTTTTCTCATTTAGGTACTTAAATTATTTTTTGGTCAATTCAAGTGTTTAACGTTATAAACATTATCATTTTAGGTGTTCAGACAGTTATCGATGTTAAAAAAGTTCATCATACAACACATGTCGTATTCTTGTAATTTTGACAATTTTTATTTTTTTTAAAAAAATAAAAAATTATTAATTTAAATAAAAACCCAAACTTTTTTGGAATTACAAAAAAATCCTAAAACCCTAAAATCTCTCATTACAATTCCATCACCATCCATCATCGGTTGCCATTGCTCTTGTTACCGTCGTTGAACTAGGCATCATCGGTTGACATTGTTATTGTCACCGCTGTCGAACCACCGATTCATCGTGGATCGTATTACTCTCGTCGCCGTTTAACAAACCCCCAAGAAGCAAACCTTTGCTCAACAAACACAAAGTTGTCACCCTTCTCCGTCGTTTCCCCTCTTCGTTGCTTCCCCTCTCAACCGTTGCATTGTTACAAGCTTCCGCTCTCCAAAAACAACAAAATAATCTAATAAATTTGGGGTTAAGGTTAGGGAATTATGGATTTAGGGTGATTTGGACGACGACGACAAGAGGGATGGCCGGAAGTGAAGGTCCGACGACAGGTGGGTGGCTGTTCGAAAATGGTGAAAGTGATCACTGATGACCGGCGATGGTTGGTATGGGGTTGGAATAAGGGATTTTAGGATTTTAGGGTATTTTTTATTAATAATAGTATTAAGTTTTTTTAAGGAAAAATAAAAAAATCTCAAAAAAATTTAACGGCTAAATGAAAAAATGATATAATTTGGACACTTATATTTTTATTTAGCCTTAACTATATATTATAACTTTAAGTCTGGTAGACAATAATCCTTCATTGATGATCATGTCAAACCTTAAAGTTGATCGATCCACTTGGTTCTGTCAAAGTGCTATTTTCCTTTGTGCTGTACTTGAGGACTAATTCTAGCATTGATTGGTCGAGAATTAACGTGTATATGTAGGTGAAGTAAAAGAACATATATTCCGCAGTTTAATTGAAAATGGAATTTGTGAAATGCTAGGATGATGGAGATTGGCCATATTCTTTAGCAAGGAAATCACCGGTGGTAACCTTATTCGTAGAAAGAAAAAAAAACCCTGATACATCACTCATGCAATTCAACTCTGGATACAAGCAACGAGGAAAACACATCACAGTAGCAAACGGATAAAGGTACGCCTTCCCTCAATACTCATCCCCTTCATCTCCTTTAAACCAACCTCTTCGTATTCAAGAAAATACATCATAGTAGCAAACGGTTAAAGGTACTCCTTCACTCAATACTCCTCCTCATCCCCTTCATCCCCTTCACCAGACTCAGCACCAACCTCTTCATAATCTTTCTCAAGTGCAGCGAGATCTTCACGAGCCTCTGAGAACTCTCCTTCCTCCATGCCCTCACCAACATACCAGTGCACAAAGGCACGCTTGGCATACATGAGATCAAATTTGTGATCAATGCGAGAAAACACTTCAGCAACGCTAGTTGAGTTGGAGATCATGCACACAGCTCTCTGCACCTTGGCAAGGTCCCCGCCTGGTACAACAGTTGGTGGCTGGTAGTTGATACCGCACTTGAATCCAGTAGGGCACCAATCAACAAATTGGATTGTGCGTTTGGTCTTGATTGTGGCCACAGCTGCATTAACATCTTTGGGCACAACATCACCTCGGTACATGAGGCAGCAAGCCATGTATTTACCGTGGCGTGGATCACATTTGGCCATCATGGAAGAGGGTTCAAAGGCAGTGTTGGTGATCTCAGCCACCGATAGCTGCTCATGGTAAGCCTTCTCAGCTGAAATAACAGGAGCATAGGAGGAAAGCATAAAATGGATCCTAGGATAGGGGACAAGGTTAGTCTGGAACTCAGTCACATCCACATTCAGGGCTCCATCAAACCTCAATGAGGCTGTGAGAGATGAGATAACCTAAATCATACATGCAAAAAAAACACCACGGTTAATGAACAACAATCATTACATTTCATAACATAAAGACTAGTATATCTGTAAGCATTCTTATCAGTACCTGAGAGACAAGTCGGTTGAGATTGGTATAAGTGGGTCGTTCAATGTCCAAAGAACGCCTGCAGATGTCATATATTGCTTCATTATCAAGAAGCACGGCGACATCAGTGTGCTCGAGGAGTGAATGAGTGGATAGCACACTGTTGTAAGGCTCTACAACAGATGTAGAAACCTGAGGTGAAGGATAGACGGTGAAACCAAGCTTCGACTTCTTTCCATAGTCAACAGAGAGACGCTCCAAGAGAAGAGATCCAAGCCCAGAACCAGTACCACCACCAACAGCATTGAAAACCAAGAACCCTTGGAGACCAGTGCAGTTATCAGCAAGCTTCCGGATACGATCTAAACAGAGATCAACAATCTCTTTGCCAATCGTATAATGGCCACGAGCGAAATTGTTGGCAGCATCTTCTTTGCCACTGATGAGTTGCTCAGGGTGGAAGAGCTGGCGGTACGTTCCAGTCCTCACCTCGTCAATAACAGTAGGCTCCAGATCCACAAATATAGCACGAGGGACGTGCTTCCCGGAACCAGTTTCGCTGAAAAAGGTGTTGAAAGCATCGTCTCCTCCACCAACAGTCTTATCGCTTGGCATTTGACCATCAGGCTGAAAATCGAAAATTCTAAAAAGATCAACACCGCAATCCACATTCTAAACCTTAGATCTTAGATCTAGCCTAAATCTTCTAACAGAGTGGAAATCGTTCAGCTAACATTTCAATTGATCCAGAGCTATCCATTTCTAACGAGTCCGATTAAATTAACAACAACAGAAATGTAATTGATAAATTAAAATATACTCGAATGAGAACACAATGTCGAAATAATCATACAAATGAGAAGAAAAAAAAGTCTAACGGCAGAGCATTGAAATAAACAAATAGAAGAATAATACCTGAATTCCATGCTCGAGACAGTAGAGTTCCCAGCAGGCATTTCCGACCTGAATACCGGCCTGACCGATGTGTACTGAGATGCACTCTCTCATTTTTTGTTAAATATATTCAAATAACAAAAGGAAATTCTAAGAAAAAAATGAGAGAATTTTCTCGAAAAGATAATAAAAAGGGGGTGTGGGCGTGTATCAAGACGCCTTCTGCGATATGAAATCTATTGAGTTGTTTAAACTCGCAGGGGTTTATATAGGGTGGAAAATAGGTTAGAAGGAAAACAATAAAAGCAATTTGTGGCTAAACCAACCAGATTAGTTAACCGCGGTTAATGATGCCAGATTTTTAAGTCAGTACCGGCCTGCCTGCCTGCCTTTTCTCTAACTACCGGCTATTTAATTTTATTTTTCAAGGGGTTGATTTTTTATATATAAAAAATGGTAGTCGTTTATTTTGTAAAAAAAAAAGAATTATAAATTTATCTATTAAAATTTTGGTTTATATTTAATACAATACAATTTCATATATTATTAATGAGTCAAATGATATTATTTTAAAAAAAGTAAATATAAATGATATCATTTTTAGGATATTATGTAAATTTTTTAAAATATTAACTTTTTGTTTAATTATAATGAAAAGGGGCCGACGAGAAGGTGAGCTATCTAAACTGGATTTCACATTTCTATCAGTGGGGCCCGACTCTGGTAGAATGGACCCGTGACTTTTCACCTCCTATCTGCCTTCAAATAGAATTGATCATCGGTTTCCATATATTATGTGACACGTCAGTAGTGAAATGTTTTAATTTAATAATAACGTTAAAAAATTATTATTGTCATAAAACTGCAATTATACATCTTCGAAAATATTAAATTACAGTTATTCGTTAATTTAAAATAACGGATTATACAAAACAATTATTATTATAAAACTGAAATTATACATCTTGTATCTGAGTTGGAAATTGATACACTTGTGCAATAATGATACCCAATTAAATGTTCTCATTATTGTGTTACACGCGTAGAATCTTACCCAAAACTCTGATTAACAATTATAAAATTTAACAATGAGAAACAAGATACAAGAGATATAAATTTAAAATATTATATTAAAATTTAATAAGTACGAAATTATAAAATTTAAAAGAATATAAAATTAGGTTAACAATAAAAAACCAAAAACATGACAAGAATTATCTGTTTTGTTTGAGGCTAACTCCAATTAATGGAATAAAGAATTCAATAATCTTGCAACAGAACGAATATCATAATTTGATTTTTCATAAACGTCATGAACAGAGGTCTGAGTCCGACTATTTCTATTTGGTCACTTAAGATAAAAATGCAGGCCAAGTAAACAGACCAACAATGAAACACCCGACGTCGTTTCTTCAAAAGTTTTTGCCGGATTTCTTCGAAGAACGTGTATGTCCTACATATGAAAACATTATCCCACTGGCCAAAAGCTAAGCATCTTGATCCGGCAAACACGGGCAACATATCCTAAACAAGTGCTCATTTCGTATCATCGCTAGTGGAAGAAATCTATGCATTTGAATAAGCAACAAAACTGAGCTTCAGGACAATGGGAAAGATTCGAACATGTCAGACTGAATCGGTGCACGAAAGCAAATGATACAAGGCACTAGAAAATTACGTAAAGGATTAGAATCACATCAGTGCACTCGGTATAACAGGAAATCTATCATACTTTGCAGTGGAAAACGATGCCGGCCGTATTTAACTGAGGTTTAATTAAAACAAGAATGATCTCGAACAAACTTGATGAAGAAAAAGCAAGAAACGAAGTAGAATTGGTCTCTTAACTGAGGAAGTAATCACTCGTAATAGAATTATGTCATCAAATTGTGAACATATGTAGTCAGTAAAAAGATACTTATGCCACAGAAATGAGAACCCTAAACTATCATGCAACTGAAGGCTGCAAAAGAAACACCATCAGAAGAAATTCAAACCTATATAAAGAAATCAAATAATGCAGAAAGCTATAGAATATTTTTACGAGGAAGGATACATATAAAGAAGCCATTAAGTAGTAGACTAGCGGAGCAAAATACTTCTCAAAGTGAAAGATAAACATGTTTGGCAAACTGATTACCACAAGAAGACTCAAGGACTAGCAAGTAGTCAGCAAATAGGATATATTGATGACAGTCGGGACAAAATCTAACGTATACTCGGTTGATAATTACATCGGAAAGGGGATTTTTTCATTGGAACTAATGTACTTAGGAAACAATATGCATATATCTATTGATTAATAAGAAACAGTAGCAATCATGATGCAACATAAAGTAGCATGGGAACACAAAGCATTTCACATGACCTAATCCATGATGTAATTAAAGAACTGTTCTCTACCATCAGTCCAAGAAAAAATTGCTCTAATCGAGCACTGTTCCACAAGGTTTATGCAAGATTTCTGGCCTATAGTAAACAAAAACAGACTACGAATAAGAGGAAAACATTTAGTTATCAAAATGTGTTAGACTTGTTCGGAGGATTTCCTAGAACCTATGTAAGTTGTTTTTCATATCCAAATGCCAAACGTCCGTGCACATGAAGAGAGTAAGTTGCACATTTTGAAGGTAAAGGACGGCATACAGAGGTAAAATCCATAGTGTTTGGGGCAATATCACAATCATATACAAATTTGAAAGCACACATAACTTGGGACTATTGATTAGATTCACCCATGCCATTTGCAGAAATTAACGAATCCATACTTTATCTCAGCAATGTTTGCTTAAGATGTTAACATGCAATACAGAGGAAGTTTACTTACAAGTCACCATAGATATCGCTTAAAAGATAATTCTTGCAAAGTAGAACCCCAAGGCACTCAAATTCCAAATCCCAATAATGCATAAATGTAAAATCCACGCATCAAACCATATCAGAATCCTAAGCCTCGGCATTGGTAAATTAAAAGTTCCCCTTTCAGATAAAAAAGAACGTCATGAAGACATATCAATAGTATAAATATCAAAGACCAAGAGAAATGGTTAAAAGAATACACAGGGTTGTTACATGCATGGACCACAAACAAATGAAATTATTCTTATCCAGTACTCTTCTGCGATTGGTTTTCAGTGGACCACTTGAGGTCAAATGCAGCAATGAAACTAAAGAAATAAACAATCTTTTCAAATGCCATTAAAGGCAAAAATAGAACCTTTCCATTCTCAAGTGGCTTTGCATTTCAAATACCAACATCTGAAGCACCTACATTTCCTAATTTACTTAATCTACGAAGCAAATGCTGAAAATAAAATGCAAAATACAGGAAAAAGAGAGAAAGAGTGAACTGTGGGGGAAAACCAGAAATAGAGCAACTATATCTCTATATTTATAGAATCAAAGTCGATTTTCGGAAAATCGGGGAAACCAGACATCATCACCATCATCGGGTCTAGGGCTGTAAATGAGACGAGACAGATCGTGAGCTACTCGAGATCGACTCGGTCAAGGCTCGATAAATACTCGAATCGAATGGACTCGAATTCTTAATGAGCCGAAACGATCTACTTGATACTCGAAAAGCTCGTGAGCAACTCGAAAATATAATATATTAAGATTTTATTTTTCTTAAAAATAAATTATTAATAATATTAACATTTAAGTGTTGATTGTTTTTAAAAAATACATTAAAGTTTTCATGTATTTAAGGTTCATGTTTGAGTTTGAGTTTGAAACTTCAATCTAATTAAGTTTAAGATTTTTTTTTCGAGCTGCTCACGAACTTCAGTTCAGGATTTCGAGTTCGAGTCGAGTTTAAAAATTTTAAGCTCTCGAGTTTTCGAGTCGAGTCGAGCTTCATTTCAGAGTTTTCGAATCGAGTCGAGCTCAACAATACTCGAACTCGACTCGGCTCGTTTACACACCTAATCGGGTCGGTGAAAAGATCGAAACAAAGCATAAATGTTCACGTACATGTGAAATAAACAGTAATGACAATATCAACTCCGTCTTCTTCCTCAGAGAATTCCGACGTACGATTATGGAAGCCTCATGATTGATGATGAACTGTAAGCTCCTCCTCCACCGTTACAATCTCAGAAGAAAAACAAGAGAAAAACATCCATAAAAATATAAACTAAAATGAGGGTCTAAGATTTTACTTTTTAGCAAGAAAGAAACTATTTGTGAAAATATTTATATTTTGCCTGGCTCCATCCTGTCTGCCTTTTTGCAATCAATAAGGGAAGGTAGTTGCTTTACACAGGGAGAAACAGAGCTACATTGTCCTCTCTCTCCTGTGAATGCACGAAAATGACCTTCGGTTTACAATGATGTAGACCGTAGAGGCGTAGAGAGAAGGTAACTCTTGAAAACCAAGGGTTCTTTGGTCATTGAATTTTTCAACAGCCATTACAGTGACAGGTTTTAAGGTATTTGCTGCTGGGTTTAAGCCTTTAAGGTCTCAATACTATTAACAAAGAGCTAATTTAATCTTTAAGTTTTCCCCCTCCCCTTTTATCAGAGAGAAACGTGAAATGGGAATTGCAAAGAGGTGAAAAGAATTTAAGGGTAAAATACACAAATGATCCCCCACTATAAGGTATTACTTTATTGAGTCTCTCGACTATTAATAGTTATGAAATGGTCCTTAGACTATAAGATATTGCTTTGTTAAGTCCCCTACTATTAAATGTTACAACTCTCCGATTATTCATATGTTTCAAACTCATCATTTTTATTAAAAAATTAAAGACAGACTAAGTTGTATGTTAACTTGTTAAGTGTGATATGATAGTTGTTTGAGATTTTGAGATCATATTTCATCATATCACAATTAGTAGATTAACGTCCAGCTCAAACTACCGTCAAATTTTTAACAAAAAAGATAAATTTGAAACATATATGTCATCACCAATGTGACATTTTTCATATAATATAATATTATAGTAAAAATAAATGTGTGGACATATATAATATATAATATATAGTATGTATATAGTATGTATATAGTTTGTGTTATTGTGTCAGAACGATATTATTTTATAATTTTTAATAGTTTGATAGTTAATGAAATACTCCTCTATAATTGGAAATTATTTATGTATTTTATCCAAAATTTTTTTTAAAAAAAATTAAAGTTTAAAGAGAAAGGCCGGGAAAAGCCATTTTCAACTTTATCA